GCTCATTACGACACATCGAGCCGAGCTTGTAAGTGTGGGTTTGGGCGTGCAATGCTCGGTCTAGGGCTAGCTGGACTGAGAGTTTGAAGAAATCTGTCATATGTTTGATGGGTTTGATGTATTTAGGGTTGTTGGTTAAGAAGTACTCGCAGGGCTGTGCGTATGGTGTTTTGCCACACCATTTTTTTACAGTGTGGTGGTGGCCGGAGATGGCGGGAGAGAGGAGGAGAGAGAGAGAGATGAGTGAGATGAGCAATTTAAGAGACATTTTTGGTGTAAAGATTGTGAAGATGATCAATGTGTGCTTTGGAGTTTTGGAAATGGGATGAGTATGAGAGACTTAGGGTTTTGTGGATATGGAGTTTAGGTGTTAAATGGGTTGATATATATAGGGAGTGAAAGAAAGGGAATGGGTGGTTCGTTAGCAGGGTGATGGGGATGCATCACCTTCATTCTTTGTCCCCTCTTGAGAGTATTTTTTTTAGAGAAATGTTAGGGATTATGAAAGACTTTTCATAAAAATGATCATGAAAGATTTGTGACCCTTGGATTACCTTGATTAGTATGTGGTGTTTTATTTTAAGTATAATTCAAAGGTCACAAATCTTTCATGATCATTTTCATGAAAGACTTTTCATGATACCTAGTATTGCTGATTTTTTTAAGGGTTTTGGTGGATAAGAGAAAGTCTACTTAGGGATGCTCCAAGCAACAATACTATGTATATGAGAGTTCATAATTTAAAATGGAACAATTATTAATTAGCGAATAAGGAATATTTGCTGTTTCTATGTTGAGGATAAAATCCAATGAGTAGGCTACTAGTTTCGATTTTTTATTTTTTTAAAGAATTTATCTTAATATATGTATTTGACATAGAAGAGTTACAAAACACGCTAAAGACTACCTTATTTGCAAATAAATGCAATTGAGGCACGGATGATCCATTATTGACCACACTCCAATTGTGTCTTTTTGACAAGGTTTTGACGACCCATGCTCAGTATGTGTGTAATAGGCTTTCATGAACCCATAATTGACCACACCCTAATTAGCTCTCTTTGATGCAACTTGGTAGGGTGGCCATCCGCGGATAATTCGGTCAATTTAGTCTGATATTTTTAAGGTTTAAAAAAAATATTTATTTCATAGGTCTTGACTAGATTTTTTTTATTTTTCTTTCATTTAATTTTTGGGCTAGACTTGAGATAAAAAAATTTAACCTAGTTTGGCCCGGCCAGCCTATTTAATTTTTTTTTAATTTTGATATTATTTAGTTACAAAATAAATTAAAAAAATAATAAAAGATAACTAAAAATGCATATATATTTACACCTTTTTTTTCTATAGTTTAAAATAAACAATGTTTAAAGTATTATATTTATTTTTTAATTTAGTTTTATTAATAATTTAAATTCAAATAATTATTTAAAAGGTTTTAATAATTTAGCAATCCTTCCAGACAAAAAAAATAAAAAATAATAATGATAATAATATATCTATTGAGTTTAGTGGACGGGTTTGGGGTTTAAACATTCTTTTAGGGCCGAACTTGAGATGACAAGGTTAGGCCTAGGGATGGTAGCAAATAGGGTATGAGTCGAGGGGCCCTACCCCATCCCTACCCCCATTTTCGTTGTTTGCTCCCACCCCGACCCGACCTAACCCTCATGAAACTCTCCACCACCCCACTCAAACCCACAAATATAACCCCCACTCTGACCCTACCCGATGCGCAACACAATCAGAAATTTAACAATAATATTAGAATTAAAAAATGCCATTTTCAATTAAAAAACTATTATTTATTGTACATATTAAAATTATATATATAACATAATAGAAATTCAATAATACATTGTATAGATATTATATATATATATATATTCTATAAAACTTTAACAATAAGTTATACATATATTACTGTATTTGCGGGTTGGTAGGGTTTGGGTAAAAAAAATACTCTTGACCAAAAGCCAATTGGGTTTTTCAAAAGTTTTTTGAAATCCGATCCTATCCTATTCAACCACCCCCAAACCTATCCCATTAACGTCGGGCAGAGTTGAGAACTTGGCGAATCGGGATATTTTTCCATTCCTTGTTAGGCTCAATGTCAGGTTGGGCCGGGCAGCGCTGAATTTGGAATAATACACATACTCTTACTATATAGTGCCGACCCAGCTCAATCTTTGTCCACCCTTTGCTCCTCATTTGAGATTTATTTTTTTAATAATTTTTAAATTTTAAATTTTTTTAAAAGTTAAAGTGATTGAAAAGTCGTAATGATTAGTTAACTTTTTTTTAACCTATGAGATGTTCTAATTAATTTGATTTTATTGATTTAAATAGAATTATGTTGTTTTTTTAGAGACAATAGAGCAAGTGTCACAAGTTGAACGGTGTGGAGTATCGATCTAAAACCACCAAATATCCTCTCCTATTTTATTGCTCTTATATTTATTGCCAGATGACCTAATAATTAAGGAAACAAAAATGCTTTGAAAATCTATCTATATTATTATTAAGTGAAGATCTCAATTGGTATAGTGAAACCTTTGCTCTTCTCATACCACGTGACAATGTATTTTATTTTTTTTAAAAAGTTATACAAAGAGGTGGGTAAAACTTGAACCCATAACCATGGATTTAAGCTAAGAAAACGCATACCACTTAAGCTCAATATACATTATAATATTGATTTCATTACTATTTTATTTTATTCTTACTTATATGGAGTAAATTTAAAATTAATGAAAGACCACACGTAAAATGATTATGGTTTGTAAGCATATTTTTTTTGAGTAATTTCTTTAAGATGTAATATTATTGAATAATTGATATTCAATAATTGTAATGTAATTTTATGACCAAATAATATAATTTTTTGGTCATATATAAACATCGGACGATCAAGCTGACCACAAAAGAGGAGAAAGTTACGAATGATGAAGGGGCAAACCAATACGAATGGGAATGGAGGATGGCAACCTGTGATTCGTAGGCATGGAAGTCACGCTGATGGGGCTTTAAGAGGGAATAACATTTATTCGGTGTTTATGGACAATATACCAGCATCGATGGGGGCAAAAAGGCTATTTCAACTCTTCTCAAACTTTGGTGTGGTGAGGGATGCGTATATACCGAACAAGAGGAGAAAATCTACAGGATCCAAATTTGGGTTTATCAGGTATGATTGCTTGGTAGCAGCGGGTATGGCTTTGTAGAAAGTAAATGGACTTTGGTGCGATAACAAAGCACTCAAGGTCAAAATGGCTGAGTTCAGAAAAGACAAAGATCAACACAAAAAAAGTCTCAAAACAGTACAACAGTGGAAGGAAAGAGAAGGAAATCACACCGTCAGTGTTCCCTTCTAGGGGAAAAAGTCATATGCTGATGCGGCTAGAGGTAGCGTCCTCCAACCCAACTTAGTTCGAACTATCAAGGTCACAAAATGAGGTAATGGATGGTTGTATAAGAGTGCAATGGAAAGATTAAAACCACAACTCTTAGTTGCAGAGTTTAAGGATGAACTTCAGAGACGTGGCTATGGAGATATTAAAGTTAGAGTTGGAGGTGGAAGATAGTTAGTTCTCTCATTTCAATTAGTGAGTGATATGAAGAAGAAGTTATTGCTAATGAAGGAATGGCTCATAGACTAGTGTGAATCGATTGAGGAAGGAGACAAAAGCATGGTTCTTGAATAGGTGAAGCAGGTGTGGTTAAGCTGCTATGGTGTACCACTGGTATTATGGAACAACAATACTTTTTGTACAATAGGTAGAGAGTGGCGTGAGGTGATTGAAGTGGAGGAAGGCACACTAAATATGGATTCTCTTCACTGTGGGAAAATCAAGATCGAGACAAGATGCATGAACACCATTAATCATCTAATCAACCTGGACTGCCAAGGTGTATTATACCCAGTCAAGATCATAGAGGAACAAATCATAATCTCAACAATTATACAGGAGCATTGTATCTGCCAATCGTTTCTCAGAAACAATGAAAACGGCTTCAGCTTCGATGAAGAAGTTGAGAATATTACAGATAGAGGCAGTAGACAAGGGGAAGAAGATGATGAGGTGGCAGATCATGTTGCTGAAGAGGTGGATAATGGGGGTGAGGTGGCTGCAGGGGAGAGGGAGGTGGCTCATGTTAATACAAATGACATGGAGGGGGAAGCAAGCTTGAGGGAGGTTTCGGAGGTAGAGGAGACAGACCTGATGATGAAAGTGTCAAAGGAAGGCGCCGCATGTGGGGTGGCCGCTGTAAGGAGGCTCTGTACAAGGGCGTCGAGGATGATGGCGTAGGTAAAGGAGATAGCCGTAGAGCTGATGATGAGGTGGTCACCTCTGGGTTTATAAAAAGCATGAGTGGGTCTGTAGGGCAGAAACAAGGCATTAGCTTGGAAGTGGACTTAAACAGGGCCCAAGTGGTTACAAATAGGGATGAGTCGGCCCAAAGGGTTACAAAATCAGATTTTCGGGTTAAGTCCAATAATTACCATATTAGAGTCTTTGATATTGGGGTTAGGCAGCCCAATTCTATGACAAGTCAGCTGGGCACAACCCTTATTAATAAGCAGTGTTTGCAGGAGAAAGGAGAGGAAAACTAATGCCACAAACTGAGGAAGAATGGGAAGTCTGAAATGGGGAAAAATCTATGAAAGATACACTCAATTTGAGGAAAGTGGCTGTTTTCAGGTTTGCCGTAGTTACTATTTCACTATCTATGGCAAGTAAATCTAGTAGAGGAGGCTTACATTTATCAGAGGCAGAAACAACCATCCAAATTGGTAAAGTGCTGGGGGTAGCCTGTGATGGCAAGAAGGAGGAGGTGATTAGCAAGTTAGAGGAATTGGAGGCTAGAGACAAAGGAAAAGAGGTCATAAGGGGAGGTGATATGCAGTGAACACTAAGCTTAGGGAGTTTTTGAGTGAAACAACTTTTGTTATGAAGATACAATCTTGGAATGTTAGAGGTATTGGTAGACCAGAGAAAATGAGAAAAATTAAACAGAGTTTGGCAGCAAGGAAAGTCAATTTTGTGATGCTTCAAGAAAAAAAGAGATCATCAATTACGCCTGAAATAGTAAAGTCTCTCTGGTATGAAGATAGTTTTGAGTATCTGGCAATGGATGTGGAAAGAAGAGCTGGTGGGTTGCTATGTATATGGAATACAGAGGTGTTTCAATTCGATGCTTGCTGTGGAATTCGTCATTTTATACTACTGTCAGGTAAATTATTTTTCTCTTTTAATTGTGTGATTGTCAATGTATATAGTTCATTAGAGGTAGTTAAAAGGAAAGAATTATGGGTCAGTCTAACTCGGTTGAAGAGTCTGTTCTTGGGGCCATGGTGTATGGGGGGTGATTTCAACGAAATAAGGAATATTGCTGAGCGTATTGGGTGCTCTAGAAAGGATAGAGGAATGAGGGATCTTAATGACTTAGTTGAACAACTGAAGTTGATTGATTTGCCTATGCTTGGGAAGAAATTTACTTGGTGTAACTCACAAACAAGAGAGAAATGGAGCAGAATAGATAGATTTTTACTTAATTATGAGTGGATACAAAATTTCAATCTCAAGTTATGGGGACTTCATAGATTGATATTTGACCATTGTCCTATAATTCTGATGGAGGATGAAAGAGATTAGAACCCTAGACCTTTTCGATTTCTGAATGCTTGGGTTCTTCATCCTAAATTTGTAGATTTAGTAGTGAAATTTTGGTTAGATTTCCAAGTGGAAGGTTGGGCTGGTTATAGATGCCTTATGAATTTCAAAGCTTTGAAACACAAATTAAAGGTGTGGAACATTGAAGATTTTGGGAAGCTAGAGTCTAAGCTTAAAGCTCCTGAGGAAAAAGCCCATGCCATAGAGCTAATTGCTGAAGAATGGTCACATCTAGGGGTTGAACAAGCTAGATGAAAGGAAGTAATGAATGACATTTGGAGGTTAAACAAAATGTTGGAATGGACTTCGCTCCAAAAATCCAGACTTAATTGGGCCACCAAAGGAGATAGAAATATGAGGTACTTTCACATTATGGCGTCTAAGAGAAACAGCAGGAATTCCTTGTGTTCAATTATGGTGAATGGCTCAATGGTGGAAGAACCTTTAGATGTTAGGTAGGAGGTGAAGTCTCATTTTATGAATCAGTTTTCCGAATCTTGGGTGACTAGGCCTAAACTGGCTGGCCAGTTCAAAAATATTGGAGGTCGTCAAACGGCGGATTTGTTGGAAGCAGATTTTATGGTGGAGGAAGTTAGAAATGTTATCAGGAGCAGTGATGACAATAAAGCACCTGGGCCGGATGGTTTAATTTAGCCTTTTTTAAGAAATGTTGGAAAATGGTCAAACCCGAGGTAATGCAATTCTTAAGAGAGTTCCATCAAAATGCCTCATTGGTTAATGGGTTAAATAGCTCTTTTATGGCCCTAATTCAAAAAATAGATAGCTCATCAAGCTTGAGAGAGTATAGGCCTATAAGTCTCATTGGTTCCTTGTATAAAATCCTGGCTAAAGTCTTAGCAAATAGGATTAAACAAGTGATGCCAAGGATTATTAGCGAGACACAATCCGTATTTCTTGGGGGAAGGAATATCTTAGATGGGATCCTCATTGCAAACGAGATAATTGATGGGTGGAGAAAATTAAAGAAAAAAGGTTTGGTGTTGAAATTAGATTTTGAGAAGGCATATGATTCAGTCAATTGGGAATTCTTATTCAATATGTTATCTAATTTTGGATTTGGGGATAGATGGGTGAGATGGATAAAAAGCTGTGTAACCTCCACAAAAGTATCAGTTTTAGTGAATGGTTCTTCTACTGACAAGTTTTGCCCAAAGAGAGGGCTACGGCAAGGTGATCCATTGTTCCATTTTCTTTTCAATATTGTGGCCGAAGGATTGAATATATTGTTTGATAGGGCCAAGGAAATGGGTTTGATCAAAGGGGTTGTCATTGGAAACAATGGGGTCACAATAACGCATCTGTAATTTGCAGATGATACAATACTGTTTTGTGAAGCTGAGTGGTTGGAAGTGGTGACCATCAAACGAATTCTTAGGTGTTTTGAAATCCTCTTGGGGTTGAAAATAAATTATCATAAGAGTGTGATTGCCGGTATTGGAGTGGAGGAAGTAATGCTGCAAAGTTTTGCCTCTAGACTGAATTGCGCCCATCAGAGTGTAGACGCGCCCTCGGGCCTCGCTACAGTTCGGACTCGATTTGTGTCATGGTCCTGTATCTAATCTCGTAGATGTAGACACCCCATTTTTGACCGTCCTCAAGACTTGGACGTCACCGCTCAAACACTCGGTGATTACTCATGTTTGTGTTTCGTTTTGAGTTCCCGGAGGTCTCGGCTACGTGCCTTGCCTCAGGATCTCTCAACTCGACTGTTCTGCATTTGGTTTTGCACCAAACACTTGTGTTTTTGCTTCTGAGGGTAGAAAGTAGCTTGTTAGCTACCCCTGACACCCAATGGCCTTGGTTTGAGTCCACGGGCCATGTTTTGAGGCTACCGGCCATTGGTGATTATACCATTGGCCGGTCGGCACTCAGTATGGCCGGCCGGCCATCTGTTTGGCCGGTAGCACCTTTTTACCTTTTTCAGTCATGGTGTATGCCAGCTGGAATGCACCAAACCTGCCTCGGGGCATACATGTGACTGTTTTGCCCTTTTTGCACCCTTTTGGTCAAAGCTTCTTGAGAAAGCTTGACCCTTTGTCAAAGCTTCCTCAAGAAGCTTGCCAGTTGTCCTAGCTTCCTCAGGAAGCCTTGCCCCCTTTGCCCCCTTTGACCCCTTTTTTTTAGCTTCTTTGAGAAGCTTCAAACCTTTGTTTTGTCTATATATAGAGCCCCCCTCCTCCATTGTTGAGGGTTGGACGAAAAAAACCAGAGCTTATACATATATTCTGATATACATCACTCTCTCTCTCTCTGTCTCCCTCTCTCTTCTCTTTTGTGTGTGTTTTGTGGTCTAAAAGTGTGTTTTGACCTTAGTTTTGCACTAAGACACACACCATTACACCACACTTCGACCTTGAGAGGCTTAGAGGGTTTGTTCTTGAGTTTTTGGACTGGTTTTGATCATAGGAAGGTGGCTGATCTTGCTGTTCCTCAAGGGTTCTTCAAGGGTAACATTCTTACTTTAGATTCCCCAATCTTGCACTAGATTTTTGCCTACCTTGCTTGCTTTTTTAGAATTTGTGTATAACTGAAAAAATTCTTGTATTTTCATGCTTGAGATCTTTCATTAAGGTCATTTGGTTGTTTGGGGCCGAACTCCCCTTCTTAGGCCTCTTTTGGCCTCTTTTTGTGCTCTTTTGTTAGGCTTTGGTTACTCTTATGTATTGGCTTTCTCACCACTGAAATCCAGTTGATTTTTAGTGGTGAAGAAGAGGTTTTGAGGTTTTTCTTAGGGGAGGGACACCCCTCTCCCTTGGTCTCTCTTTTGTTTGCATATTTGGCTCAATACGGTAGCATGCATGCCTAGTCTTGTTTGGCTTTATTTCAGACCTTATTTGGTGCTCATTTAGCATGTATTGTCTCTGCCTCATGTTGTTTTTTTGGCCTTTTGCATGTATAATACACTTGCTTTGAATTCCCATCATTTGGCTTAAAGTGTACCATGTTGTAGCATATCATTTGAGCATGTTTTTGGCTTGGTCCTAAGAAGGTTTTAGCATTATTTTTCAATGCTTAAGGTCTGTTGGTTACTGATTTGGTCATGCTTGACATGTTTGATGTGGTTGCTATGCATTTTGGCTTGTGAGCCCAAAGTGTGTGAGTCATAAACATGCCCTAGTTGGCCTATTTCAATGAGTTGGAGTCATTTGCCATGTCATTTTAGTCCCCAAACCATGCTTGTATGCTTGCATTCATCACCTCTCTCATGCTTTGAAGATGCATCCTTTTATGCCTTGAAATGAGCATTGTGCATGCCTAAGTGTTTAAGCCTTCGGGGCTACCATATCAGAGGGTTTTAGGACTTATTTCAATGCATCCAAACTCTTTTTTTGGCTATATAGCTCATGCCATGTTGGCTTGGGGTAGTCTTAATCTTGGGCCTATTGGTGTGTATGCTTACATGAGTATTTGTTCATCATTTTAGGCATCTTTTGTCACTGTTTTGGGGTGGGCTGAGGTTTCCCCCTTCGCACTGCATTATTCATGTTGCATCTTTGAGCCAAATTTGTATACATGCATTGCATTGTTTGGTTTGGGGTGTCAAACCAAGCATGAAGGGAGAGGTGTGTTTGTACCCAAAGTGACGAAACACGTCTCAACCCTCGGTCGCCGATCCCCTTGACCTCAATATGAAAGGGTGTTAGCATTCATTTGTGTGTTGCATGCATTTACATTAAGTCGCAAACTTAGCCTCTTAGGCCATTATGCATCGAGATGCACAATTGATGGCCCGAGGGTCGAGGACCACGCTCCCTTGAGTTCATTGCATGATAGGGAGTGTAGCCATGCACACATTTGTTTGAAAATTCCATGCCATACACTACTTGCCCTCTACTGCTGTCAGCTGTAGGTTTTAGCAGGAAGAATTGGCCGGCCGGCAGTGTTGGGTGCCGACCGGCAAAACGTGTTTGGGCGAGAGCATAAGATTTGGATGATAATCCCATTCCTATGGCCGGTGGCATTTTGTTCCGGCTGGTGACACTCCAGAGCACTCAAGGAGTGATTCAAAGCAGTTCTGGAAATTTATGTGATCCTCAGAGGGGCAAGGCAGTGTAAACAGAGGCAACAGTGCTATGGCAAAGAGTTTCCGAGTAGGGCGAGTCAAGCATGCATCATTCGCGCATTCTGAGGCAGAGCTGCGGCAGTCTCTTTATGCTTCACATTTAGTTTATTTTGTAATTAATTTGTTAATTAATTAAGGGTCTGTAATATTTAATTAGCTTGTTAGTTAGTTAAATTGTATTATTCTTTCGGTCCCTCCGAGTGAGGGCTAACTTGTAATAAGTGTGGGTACGTGTGTGCATGTCTTCCAAGCCCCATTTCTTTCTCCCTTTTACTTATCTGCTTTTGATGGTTAGTATTAGGTTATATTTGATTTAGCATACCTTATGCTATGCATGCGTGCATCCATACATTTGTCTTGCATGCACCGGGCTCTGCGCATCATACTAACTGCATTGTATTCAATTCCAAGTTGAATACGTGTTAGTTGTAGCATCATCATATGTCATCCATAGATTAGCCGAGCCTATTGTAACTGCATCTTGTATGTGTTGCATTAGCCATCTTAACATGAGTTAGGATCATGCATTGATTACTAACTAGCTTTTGTTTTGGCTCGGAGTACTAGGTAAGCTTTCATGCTTTAGCATCCTTGCATGAGTGTGAGTGTTGCCGTGATAGCATGCTTACCATGTGGCTAGATGCTTATGTGATATAAACTGCTTAAGTGCCTGTGGGTGAAGGTTGGATTTGTTTGAGTTGGGACAACTCGTTGAAATCCGTGCTTTAGCCTACTTACAAGTAGCAAATCTCAAACTGTTTTTCAAACAAACGGATATGCAATGCTTTGTTCCAAATTAGGCGAACTAGTCTATATTTTTGTGTTGTGCGCATCACATAGTAATTCTAGCTAATTGACTGGAATAAGAACACATAACGTTTTCAAAATCGGATATCATGATTAGTAGAGACCAATCTTTGGATCGAGCGAGAAGGGGTGCTCATAGCTAACCTTCCCCAATCGTACCCAAGCTCCCGAGCCGACGCAACTTTGGTGATGACGGACACGTGGCCTTTGGCACCGAGTCAGGGTTTCCTAAATTTCCCAAAATAAAATATTTAGGTGGCGACTCTGTATCTGGCAAAGCAGTCCATAAGGCTGACCGGTTGTAGGCTCTGACAGCATGGGAACACAAACCCCGGTTTTACCGGAACACCCTTTTGACCATTCG